TGACTCCCAAATCCAGTGTATATTTCACCATGCCGCAGCTGCCTTCTCAGATGATAATTTATGGCAAAGATTATCAAGATGAGCTTTGGTTTCTGGTTACCTAATGATCTGAGCACTTGAAAAACCATCTCTAATGTCAGAAATTCAGCTAAAGATTAAAAAAAAGAAGGGGGGGGGGTGGTGGAGGGTTGTCCTGCAGCAATCACTTGGTCGCGGTCGTTACCATGCTTTGTTTGCTAGAGAGCTGACATGTGGCTGGTTTTCATTTCCAGCTTTACAGTAAGTAAGGAAAAAAAGTGAAGCTGTTTTATTAAATATTAGAGGCCCCATGCACAGACTTGTGCACATTGGAAGTAAATTAGTTAGAACGTGGCCAGTGGAGCAGCACTGGACAAGACAGGCCAGACACGCCCTGGAGGCAACCTTCCGTGATCCCTCCGCAGCTAGTGCCAGGGCTCAAAGGGCGTCTGGGGAGTGAGCGGGGGTCCTGCAGAAACCTGCAGTCCAACATCCCCCAAGGGGTCCCCGGGTGCTCAGAGCGAGAGAGGGCACTCTGCAAAGTTGCTGTTCCTCAGCAGCTCCTGCGCCCCCCCCCCCCCCCCCCCCCCCCGTGATCAGTTTACGTCATAGCTACTGGCCAGTTGGCTGGTCGGCCAATTGCTTGCCTAGGCTTTTACATATATATAGATAAATGTTATCTTGGATCAGGTTCTTTGAAGTCTTGTAAAAAAGGGTCATGACTTAGTCATTTGAAATGGGAAACTTTTCCAGGATGGGCAGGACACTGGTGGCTTGCCCTTCAAAGCTGTTTGTAGATATATAACATTAGAAAAGGTCTTAGTCACCTGCAGAACCAGTCTTCATTCTTGACAGACATTTAAACATGCTGAAAATTCCCAGCTGAGGCCTGCTAAGGCTCAGAAAGGGGCCTCAGAGGGGAGAGCAGGAGAACAGAATCTGGGAAGACCCAGGGCGGAGCAGCAGCCTCCCAGTCCCTGTCCTGCCGATAGGGAGCTCCTGGGTGGGCCCACCAGCCCTACTGTGCTTCCCAAGACCCAAACCCAAGCTATCGACTTCCCTGGGTCTCTTACAGCTCCTTTGCCGGCTGGACAGGGTAGGACTGAGCGAGACTCTGCTGGTAGACCTGATTGTTCCTCAGCTCAAAAGAAAATGCCTTCCTCCTGGCACCAGAGGAAAGTGCAGAGTGATGCTGTTGGTTGGTCCCCTCCCTGCCTTCCTGGCAATGGGACCTCAGGAGGGGGCAGGATTTCCCCAAGGACTCCAGCTGAGGTGCTGACAGTTGCTAGTTAGTGAGGCTGGTGTAGGTTTCAGGGTGCAGGTGCAGGATGCGGAAAGGAGCCCTCCAAAGTTGAAGACCCCCAAAGGCACTTGATGAAATAAGAATATACTTTAGCAAAAGGAGCTGGTAGGAGAATAACTGCAATGTCCAAAAAATCCAGACAATGCTCAAGACATCTTTCAGTCCAAGAGAAGCACTCTATCCCAGACACAGCTCCAGGCCACTACAAAGGAAAGAAGTTAGAAAATAGCTCTGGCTGGTTTGGCTCAGTGGATAGAGCATCAGCCTGCTGACTGAAGAGTCCCAGGTTCGATTCCCATCAAGGGCACAAGCCTGGGTTGCAGGCTCAGTCCCCAGTGGGGGATGTACAGGAGGCAGCCGATCAATGATTCTCATCATTGATGTTTCTATCTCTCCTTCTCCCTTCTCTAAAATCAATAAAAATATATTTTTAAAAAAAGAGAAAAAGAATAAAATAAGCCGGGACCTGTTTGGCTCAATGGATAGAGCGTCAGCTTGGGGACTGAAGGGCCCCGGGTTCAATTCCGGTCAAGGGCATGTACCTTGGTTGCGGGCATATCCCCAGTAGGGGGTGTGCAAGAGGCAGCTGATCTATGACTCTCTCTCATCAATGTTTCTAACTCTCTATCTCTCTCCCTTCCTCTCTGTACAAAAATCAATAAAATATATATTTTTTAAAAAAGAATAAAATAAAGGATTGGCTTCCTTAATCTACTACAGGTGGCAGCTGCCCAGGGGGCCACATCACTCCCTAACTACCCCAACTCTGCCACCCTCCATCAGGAGCAAGCTAACTGGACAGTCTCTCATGCTGCTTTCCTGTGTGGCAGCCCTGGGGCTGGGAGTAGGTAAGTATTAATACCTTAGGAAAACCTGGCACTGAGCACTGAAATGAACTAGATTTCCATGTGTCATTCCAATGAATTTCAGGTCCAGCATTTCCTGGCTCAGATGTGATTATAGACCAGTCAAGTGTCAGCAAACCCCAGCAGTGAGAGGGGACAGTGAAAGGCTGAAGCCCATTGGCAGAGGGAAAGGTGGAGAAGGCTGCCTCAGCCCCCTCTGCTGAGATTTCCTTTAGGGATGAAGAGATTTTTCTATACTTAGATTTGCTTTAGGGATGAAGAGATATCAAAGAACACTTAAGCAAATATATATAGTGAGTGGCCAGATTATTATGATCTCTGAATGCATAATAATATGGCCACTTTGTGTGTGTGTGTGTGTGTGTGTGTGTGTGTGTGTGTGTGTATGTGTGTATTAGAGGCCCAGTGCATGAATTCGTGCATGGGTGGGATCGGGCCAGCTTGGCCAGGGGGAGGAGACATGGGCAGTTGGCCAGCTTGCCTGCTGGCCGAACTCCTGTTGAGGGGACAATTTGCTTTTTATATAGGCTATAAACTGAGTGGCCAGATTATTATGCTTTCAGAGATCATAATAATCTGACCACTCAGTGTGTGTGTGTGTGTGTGTGTATTAATTTTTCAGAGAAGAAGGGAGAGGGAGAGAGAGAGAACCATCAATGATGAGAATCATCCATCAGCTGCCTCCTGCATGCCCACACTGAGGATCAAGCCTACAACCTAGGCATGTGCCCTGACCCGGAATTGAACTGTGGCCTCCTGGTTCATGGCTCAATGCTCAACCTCTGGGACATGCTGGCTGAAACACGCGGCTGGGCCACATACTAGTACCCTCCTTTCTTTTTTTTTCTTTTTCTTTTCTTTCTTTCTTTTTTTTTTTTTTTTTTAAAGCTGAAGCTCAGTGTGCCTTTATTTTATTTTTAAATATATTTTATTGATTTTGTACAGAGAGGAAGGGAAGAGATAGTTAGAAACATTGATGAGAGAGAGTCATTGATCAGCTGCCTCTTGCACACCCCCTACTGGGGTTGTGCCCGCAACCAAGGTATGTGCCCTTGACCGGAATCGAACCCGGGACCCTTCAGTCCCCAAGCCGACGCTCTATCCATTGAGCCAAAAGATAGAGGAACAGGGCTGGCTTCATGGACGTGTGACCAGTGCAGTTGAACAAGACCCTGCACTCTGAAGAGCCCTGCACTTGCGAGTTAATGCACGGTAGCTGAAGTCTTGAAATTCTTAGTAATCCTATCTTTGAATTTGTGTTCTGTAAGTGAAGTCTCAATGAACAATGAATGGAATAGGCACTGGGGGCTTGGAGCCTGAACTTAGTCCCACCCCCTGTGGCCTCCCTAAATGAGTTCTCTTCTCCATGCTGCTTCCCTGCCTGGCCTCCCCCTTCTTGCCCTCACCCTGTGACTGCTGCTGTGCCTTCTGCCTTTGGCAGGGCCCTGGGTGCCAGTGCAGGAGGGTCAATGATAGGCGCAAACACCCTGTGGAGGTTGGTGCCATGGTGGTGGCCATTATTGCCTTAGGTTGGCAGTACCATAGTGGTCCTGGTGGGTGGCTGGCTTTAGCTGAGCCTTGAGAGGAGCAAGCCTCTTGCCTATCCCAGCTCTGACTTTTGGAGATACCTGGGAGTAGCCCACCTGCTGTGGCCTGGGGAGGCAGTCCTGTGGGAAGGGCTGAGGGGACTTGTCAGCCCAAGAGAGCGCCTGCCCCAAGCACCTTGAGGGCCCAGGCCCTCAGAAACTCCTCCCCTAGCCTCTGTGCCGGGAGGACCCTCTCTTCCTCCCTCCTCCTTTCCTGGGCCAGCACCATGGACCCTCCCTTCCTGAAATGAGCTGCAGAATTCCAATTGCGTCGTTTCAGTGATCCCCAAATACAAGTTACACACTTTGATAGTTTCATTTCAAGTTGGCATTGCATAATATAAATATGAAGGGTAAAATTCATGCTAAATTCATTAAATTAATTCTTTAATTTTTCTTAGAATGATGTTAAGTAGCAAATTAAAGCACCAGGAGAAGTAGTGTGCGCGTGGGGAGGCGGGTGAAGGGTTTTGGGTTCAGTGTCATTAAGTACATTCACATTGTTGAGCAAATTTCACACTCTCCAGCTCCAGAACTTTCTCAAACAATAAGTCCCCGTCACCCCTCTTCCAGCCCTGCAGCCGCCTTTCCATTTTCTATGAATCTGATACTCCTAGTACCTTGTATACATGTCTTTGTGTATCTGACTTTATGTATGCATTTAAACGCACTTTTTTTTTTGAGAGAGAGAGAGAGTGAGAGAGGGAGAGAGAGAGAGACATACATCAATCTGTTGTTCACTTATTTTTGCATTCATGGATTCTTGTATGTGCCTGACCTGGGATCGAGCCCTCAATCCTGGCATATTAGGACAATGCTCTAAGCAACCGAGCTACCCAGCCAGCACTTAACAGCACTATTTTTCTTTTTTACCAAGAGGCCCCACATTTTCTTTTCGTACTGAGCCTCACAGATTGGGTAGCTGCCTGCTGAAAAAAGCCCTTCTCTTTTCACTGTCACACAGGAGGTGTGACTTGTGTTTTAGGAACATATCGTCTGCTTCTCCCTTTTATTTTTTTAATTAAATTATTATCTGTGTACATTGTTTCTCCCTTTTAGATTGTGGGGTCCCGTAGGATAAGTGAGAATTCCACTTCCCCAGAAGTCCCAGTGGCCTGACCAAGCAGCAGGTCACCTCTAACTGTTCCCTCTGGCTCTAAACTCCCCCCTGGCTTGAGAGGTACAGAGAATCTCCACGCAGGAGTTTCGAGTGTTTCCAGTGCACGGCTAAACCTGAAGGACAGAATGTCATGCTGAGAGTAAGGCTTACTGAAGATTCAGGCTAATTGCATGAATAGCTAAAACTAGAATTACCCAGCAAAACTCCCTCCGCCCCCTACTTTCTGCATTCAAGGGATTCCTGTTCTAATGTCAATCCCAAATGTCCCCCTCGTTTGCCTCCCCTCCGCAGGGTTCCCCTGGACACACTGCTCCTAGCACTTCACTAGCCTGCCCCGGAGCCCTGGCTCAGATAGGAGCCTGAGAAAGGGATGTGGAAAACAGCTCCAATCTGGATTACAGACTCAGTGGCAGTGCCGCCCAGACAACTTCTGCCATTTCTTTGGAAAAAGCAAAAACTAAAGTCAGCAAGAGGGTTGCCTTATCTCTGTAAATAAAAAGCTTTTGCTCCAAGCCAGTGGGTTTTGGGGGAGGGCAATAAGTCCCAGTTTGGAAGCAGATCTTACGCATTCAACTGGGCAAATGGTAGGGCGAGAGGTCGTTCCCCAACCCACCTCCACTGCCTTAGGGCTCTTCCAGCACCCGGAAATTGCTTAATGTCCTTTTATTGTGTGTGTGTTTTTTTTTAAATATATATATATATTATTGTTTTTTTACAGAGAGGAAGAGAGAGGGTTAGAGAGTTAGAAACATTGATCAGCTGCCTCTTGCACACCCCTACTGGGGATGTGCCCGCAACCAAGGTCCATGCCTTTGACCGGAATCGAACCTGGGACCCTTCAGTCCGCAGGCAGATGCTCCATCCATTGAGCCAAACCGGTTTTGGCGCTTAATGTCCTTTTAAACAGAAAGTCAGGAGCACCAGAAAAGTGAACCTGAGAGGCATTATTGGTGAGCCTGGGGGTCCACCACCAGCAGGAGGTGCTGTGTAGGTTTAGGGAGCAATCCACAGCCACATACTGCTTGCTTAAGGTGTCCCTTCTAGAACAAATTAACCAGCTGTTCCTGGGCAGGGCAACCTTTCCTCGAAGCTTGAAGGAAATAATTTCATTCTGGGAGAAAACCATGTGAGGGACGAGAAGGAGCCTGACTGTCTCACCTGGGATGACTCTAAGGAGGAAATAAATGCCCACCCCAGACCTGGGAAACCGGTTTTGTTTCCTTGCTCAATCTGCCAACCGTTTTTGTAACCAGTTTTGACCAAAGGGCACCTCAGATTCAGTCCTAAAATGCCAGTTGCAATCCTTGTGAGTGGAAGGTACTGGAAGCTAAATATCATGATCACACATGTACCTACCGTCTAAGCCCTAGCAATGTTCAGCACTCCTGAGCCCACCCCTAATGGGTGCGCAGGTGGATGGCAGTATTCTGCATCACACTCTACAGTCTCAGGGGGAGGTCTGCAGGGCCACCTCCCTCCACCTCCACAGGGAATGTCACTTGCTCACCCAAAGGCAGATCCAGCCCAGGGCCCCAGTGTCAACCTTGATGGACGGCAACAGGACTCAATAGCTCCTATCCCGTATGCTTAGACAGCAGCCTTTGCTGTCCTGCTGTGGATCCAAGTCTACTAAGTGGACTCTGACTTTGTTCTCGAGGATGGTTTCAGAAGGAAGTGGCCCACTCAAGGGGAAAACCCATCCCTGTTCTGGTTCTCCAGGTCCCCTCCATTTTTTTAGGAGCAAGGTATTCGGTCTACAGAGAAGTCATTCCACAGAGATCCAGGCCCCTAGCATATGGCACCCAGGACCTTTTACTCAGAGATTACTTCATTCATGAAAAGGCACCGAAAGGCCTCCATTCCCACTGGTGGCTCTTGTGAGAGCATCTCTAACAATATATATATTGATTTCAGAGAGGAAGGGAGAGGGAGAGAGAAAAACATCAATGATGAGAGAAAATCATTGATCAGCTGCCTCCTGCACACCCCCCACAGAAATCGAACCGTAACCTCCTGGTTCATAGGTTGACACTCAACCACTGAGCCATGCTGGTCAGGCAGCATTTCACTTCTGACAAAGATTTCCACAGGTTCCTGTTCTTTTTGGCCGCTGAGTGTAGATTTCCAGTACACATAGATGCTCTGGCTGGATAGTCACCCTCTTTTTGCAAGTTGTCACAAGGGTCTTTCCTGGCAGGAGGGAGGGCATCCTGGCAGGGAGGACTCTAAGGATGGCCAGGGAGTGACTTTCTGCTGCAGATGCACTTCCCCCTGCCGATGTGGGCATGTGATACTTGGCCTGCAGCCCCCACGGTGGGCAGGCACACAAGCCCTCCCTACCACTCACCCGCTTGGGCTCTATTTTTTTTTTTTTTTTTATATATATTTATTTATTTATTTATTTATTTTTTACAGAGGAAGGGAGAAGGATAGAGAGTTAGAAACATCAATGAGAGAGAAACATTGATCAGCTGCCTCCTGCACGCCCCCCACTGGGGATGTGCCCTCAACCAAGGTACATGCCCTTAACCAGAATCAAACCTGGGACCTTTCAGTCCATAGGCCGACGCTCTACCCACTGAGCCAAACCGGCTAGGGCTAGGGCTAGGGCTCTGTTTTAATCATGCTGTGTACCTACTCTCCTCTCTTCCTGTTAGAGATTAAGAGACCAGGGCCCACTTACTATTTTCACTTTATTTTTTAATCCTCAACTGGGGATATGATTTTCATCAGTTTTACAGTGAGGGAGAGAGAGAGAGAGAGAGAGAGAGAGAGAGAGAGAGAGAGAGAGAGAGAGAGAGAGAGAGAGAGAGAGAGAGAGAGAGAGAGAGAGAGATCCATTGGTTGTCTCCCATACGTGTCTAACTGGAACAGAAACCAAAACCTAAGTTTGTGCCCTGAGGGGGAATTAAACCTGAAAACTTTTCGGTGCACTCGTCCACACTCCGACCAACTAAGTCACCCAGCCAAAGCCACCTACGTAATTTTTGACTGGAGAATTATTGATTTCAAAAATAAAAATATGAATGAGACTGTATAGTAACGGTAAACGGTTCATAACTCTTATTTTATTTATTCTTTTCCAGTCAGCAGAAAAGCAAACTTTATTGGGGCCCCAGGGCCACAGGGTTCTGGCAAAAGGCCGCCTGCACCGAGGAGGTGGTGGAGGGGCCTTAGTTAACGTCCTTGGGGCACAGGTTGCTGGCGTGGCCTCACTTCCTGCAGCAGTTGGCAGCGCGGGGGGGTGCAGACAGCCCCGAGCTGGCCGAGGGAGGGCTCCATGACGCCCCCACGCAGACGAGGCACCAAGTGCAGGGTGGCCTCTTTCTGAACGTTGTAGTCTGAGAGAGTGCGGCCATTCTCCAGCTGTTTGCCGGCAAAAATCAGGCGCTGCTGGTCAGGCGGGATGCCCTCCCGGTCTTGGATTTTGGTTTTGATACTCTCAGTGGTGTCACTGGGTTCGACCTCGAGGGTGATGGTCTTGCCAGTCAGGGTCTTCACAAAGATCTGCATCTCTGCGTCTGCTGCCTGCCTTCTTGAAGAGAAAGAGCACATAACTCATTTAATTAAACAAGGTTTAATTAAATAATTAAAAGATAAGTTATGGCCCTCGCTGAAGTGGCTTAGTTGGTTGGGGGTTGTCCCACACAGGTAAGGTTGCTGGTTCAATTCACGGTCAGGGCACATGGGCACATGCCCAGGTTACAGGCTTGGTACCTGGTAGGGGCCATGCAGGAGGCAACTGGTCGATGTTTTAAAACACATGTGTCAAACACAAGGCCCTCGGGCCAAATCCGTCCCGCCAGGCCTTGCAATGTGGCCCGCACCTCGCTGTCATCACTGCACTCCGCTGCGTTTCCATCACAATGACAGTTTATGACTGTTCAGTAAACCATTCGGCCCGCGATTTAGGCTGGATTTTAGATTTTGCCCCCTTCTCTGATTGAGTTCGACACCCCTATTTTAAAAAATGATAGGTTGCCCTAACCAGTTTGGCTCAGTGGATAGAGCATTGGATTGAGGACTCTCAAGGGTCCCAGGTTTGATTCTGGTCAAGGGCATGTACGTTGGTTGCAGACACATCCCCAGTAGGGGGTGTACAGGATGCAGCTGATTGATGTTTCTCTCTCATCGATGTTTCTAACTCTATCTCTCTCCCTTCCTCTCTGTAAAAAGTCAATTAAAAAAAAAATATATATATATATATATTAAAAAAATTTTCTGGATGATCACCAAATTTGAACTATACATTGGTTGGTACAAGTTAAGTATAATAAAATAGTTTGAGTTTAGTCTTTAACATTAGGTTTAAACGTTACATCCTTTTAGCGATACATCCCATAAATAGAAAGGACCCACCGCTCACTTCTCCAGGACAACCGGAGGTAATGGCAGGCACAGGGACCTTGCTCCTGTTCAGATAGATGATAGAAGTGGGGTGCCTCTGCTCACCTGACAAATAAGGACCCAATTTCTCTTGTTTTATTGGCAGCTCATAGGCTGACAAGACCACCTCAGCACCTTAACCTGTAATCAGTGTGTACTACTACTCTTGAGAAATTAAAAAAAAATTCTGCTTGGAAAGGTTAGAAAACCAACCAACCACTGATGGCTTTAACTGCCTTCTTTGGCGATCTCTCTTCCTCTCTCTTCCTTATTGGGCATCAGAAGAGCACGAGGGAGTTAAAGCTCACTGTGTCTTACTCATACTATAAGTTCTATGAGTAAGGACCCACTCATTCAAAGGAAAAAGTGCCCAAAAGTAGGAAGTTAGTCCTTAGTCAGCCAAATGTGCTCAAACACTAGGAAAACAGTTTTGAGTTCTCCTAAACAACTCTTCAATCAGTGGCAAACTAAAGCTGAATCTCAGACTAGTTTTAACTTTATAGGAATGAGAGTTATGATCTTCAACTCCGTGTGAAAGTATAGATGATCCTCACAAATGTAATGCTGAGCAAAAAGAAGCTCATCACAAAGGAGTCCAGGCAAAACTATTCTTGCCACCTGAAGTCAGGATAGTGGGTGTCCTTGGTGGAGAGGTGGGGTTAGGGATGAAAAGAGAGCCTCCAGGGATGTTAGCAAGGTCAGCTTCATGGGCACAGGGCCCTGGGCTTAGAAAGACCCTGCAGTTGATTTAAAGCTCTGCTGTCACCATCTCAAAGTTCTTAATAAAATCTGAACATTGCACTTTCATTTCTCACTGGGCCCTGTAGGTCCTGAGTATTAGTCATGTTCTGGTTCTTAATCTAGGTGTTGAAATTGTGAATATTCACCAAACTGTACATAATTTTGTTTGACATGAGTAGAGCAAGGATGATGGGCCAAAAGCCCTGAAAAACTGGGAAAACAAGAACCTCGCCCCTACGGTAACCTATCCTGCCCTAGCATGTCACCTGGTCATGCAGTTTATTTTATTTTATTTTATTTTTTTAAAATATATTTTATTGATTTTTTACAGAGAAGAAGAGAGAGGGATAGAGAGTTAGAAACATCGATGAGAGAGAATCATTGATCAGCTGCCTCTTGCACACCCCACAATGGGGATGTGTCTGCAACCAAGGTACATGCCCTTGACCGGAATTGAACCCAGGACCCTTCAATCCGCAGGCCGACGCTCTATCCACTGAGTCAAACCGTTTTCGGCTGGTCATGCAGTTTAGATACCCTGACCTTTTCCTCCCTAAAGATAACATTTACCACCTGGCTCCCAGCTTGCTTCTAAAAAAAAGGATAACATTTAGGCCTCAGTTCCTCAAGACCAAATACACTGAGTGGCCAGATTATTATGATCTCTGAATGCATAATAATCTAGCCACTCAGTATATATATTAGAGGCTCTGTGCATGAATTCGTACATGAGTGGGGTCAGACCAGCCTGGCCAGGGGGAGAGGACATGGGGAGTTGGCTGGTTTGCCTGCTGGTTGAACTCCTGATCGAGGGGGCAATTTGCATATTAGCCTTTTATTATATAGGATATACACTGAGTGGCCAGATTATTATGCATTTAGAGATCCTAATAATCTGGCCACTCAGTGTATATTGACTAACGGCACTGACCAATCATTGGTGACCATGACCCTGAAGAGCACACCTGGAAAGCTAATGAATATTTTATTAAGACCCTCCCCTAAAACCTCTCCAAAAATTTCCACCTGCAAGAAAGAGATAAATATACTCAGAACAAAGGACCTAGTGCATGTTATCCAAAATCAGGAAAACAGCCGGGACTGGTTTGGCTCAATGGATAGAGCGTCGGCTTGGGGACTGAAGGGACCTGGGTTCGATTCCAGTCAAGGGCAAGTACCTTGGTTGTGGGCATATCCCCAGTAGGGGGTGTGCAAGAGGCGACTGATCGATGACTCTCTCTCATCGATGTTTCTAACTCTCTATCTCTCTCCCTTCTTCTCTGTACAAAATCAATAAAATATATTTAAAAAAAAATCAGGAAAACAATATAAGGGAATAAATCTAAGATCTAGTTCTTTGGGGGTACGAGAAAGCAAACAATAAAAATGATAAATCAGGCTCTGGTCAGGTAGCTCAGCTGATTAGAGTATCATCCCAATACATCAAAGTTTCTGGTTCCATCCCAGGTCTGAGCTCATACAAGAATCAACCAGCCGAAACCGGTTTGGCTCAGTGGTAGAGCGTCAGTCTGCGGTCTGAAAGGTCCCAGGTTCGATTCTGGTCAAGGGCATGTACATTGGTTGTGCAAGAGGCAGCTGGTCGATGTTTCTCTCTCATCGATGTTTCTAGCTCTCTCTCTCCCTTTCTCTCTGTAAAAAAAACAATAAAATATATTTTTTTAAAAATGAATCAACCAATAGCCAAAACCAGTTTGGCTCAGCAGATAGAGTGTCGGCCTGCAGACTGAAATGTCCCAAGTTTGATTCTGGTCAAGGGCATGTACTTTGGGATGCAGGCACATCCCCAGTAGGGAGTGTGCAAGAGGCAGCTTATCGATGTTTCTCTCTCATTGATGTTTCTAACTCTCTATCCTTCTCTCTTCCTCTCTGTAAAAAATCAATAAAAATATATTTTTAAAAAAGAATCAACCAATAAGTGAATAAATAAATGGAATAATAAATTAATGTTTATCTCTTTTCTTCCCTCCCTTCTAAAATCAGTTTTTTTAAAATAATAAACCACTAGCAAATATAATAAAAAAAGACAAAACAAATATTTAAATTAGGAATGAGAAAGGATTTATAATCATGGGTACCGAGGAAATGATAAGAAATACAAGGGAACACTTTGCCCAATCATATGCTAATACAACTTAAAATATAAGTGCAATGGGTAATACTCAAGGAAATGTAGATTACCAATAGAGACTCAAAAAAAGTAGGAAAAAAAAATCAGGTAAATTGTCATGAACGAAAGCTGTTAAAAGATATATCTTAAAAATATAATGAGCAACTTCTTTCAGGCTTTTAGAGAATCAGCATTTTTCATTAAAGGTATCGAAAAGCATAGAAAAAGAAGTAAACATTCCAGTGTTTCATGAAGCAAAATTAAGAGAAATTCTAAAAATTTGGTAGAATTTAATATTCATTCTTCATATTGGTAAAAGAAAAAAATAATACTTATTTAATATAGCAGATGTAAATCCTGGGCACATGACACATATATGCATACACATCTACCACATCTATCCCTATTTTTTTTATATATATTTTATTGATTTTCTACAGAGAGGAAGGGAGAGAGATAGAGAGCTAGAAACATTGATGAGAGAGAAACATCGACCAGCTGCCTCTTGCACACCCCCTACCGGAGATGTGCCCGCAACCAATGTACATGCCCTTGATCGGAATTGAACCTGGGACCCTTCAGTCCGCAGACCAACGCTCTACTGCTGAGCCAAACCGGCTTCGGCCACATCTATCCCTATTAAAGTCAGCAGCAAGACAATAATGCTCATTCACTTCCTCTCCTATTTTTAGCACCATGTTCTAACCCCCTGAGCTAAGTGGCCATTAGATACCTTTCCCATTATTTAATGTTGTTCTGGAAGTGCTAGTTAATACAATTAGACAATAAAACAAAATAAGAGTCATGAACACGAGGAAGTGTGATGCAGGCATTAACCAATCTGGTTTCATTTTCTTCATCTGTAAGATGTGAATAAACGTACCTCTCTCAACAAATTCTGTAAAGATTAAATATATAAAGCATCTGGCTCAGAGCCTACCATATCACTAGCACTGTACCTTTCTGAGCCCCCTCAAAGGCACCCAGCTTTCTGTAGTCCTTTGGACGTTTCTCATACTCTGACCTATATAAAGGTAATGGGGAATGGGTAGGACATGGATGGTGCTTGAACATAGTAGGCACTCGGTAGATGATTGCCAAGTAAAGTCGTTATCTGCACTCAAACTGTTCATCCTGATTGCTATGCTTTTCCACAAACACATTTATGCCACCAATCGCCTGATTGTATCACACACTATTGGGTAGTCTCTAACCAATTACTTACTAGATGAGCTCATCTCTCAATCCTGTCTGAGCT